GGCTGTAAAAAAGAAGGGGACAGACTCTTTAGCAGGTCCTGTTGTGACAGGACAAGCGGAGACAGTTTCAAACTAAAAGAGGGGAGATTTAGGTTGAATAGAAGGAAAAAGCTTTTTATGATAAGTGTGGTGAAGCACTGGCACAGGTTGCCCTGAGAGGTGGTGAATTTCCCATCCCTGGAGACAGCCAAGATCAGGCTGGATTGGGCTCTCAGTACCAGACTGAACTGTAGGTGTCCCTGTTCATTGCAGGGGAGTTGGACTAGATGACCTTTAAGGGTCCCTTCCAACTCAAATAATTATATGTTTCCATGAATTAGAAACCAGCAATCCAGCAACTCTTAGCTACCTCACTGCAGCACAGTAATCTGAAGAGGGATCTCTTTCCCATCTACTAAAATAGACACCACCGCCAGCAAAAAAAAAAACTGGGAAGAGTGACTCAAAGCGGGGGAAGGAAGAGGGATAGGGCCGATGGGTAGCTAGACACCCACATCAGGAGAGCATCTAAGCAAAACTGCTTGCATCCTACTGTTGTCAATGTGATTTCAAAGCATATGCTTAAGTTGAGAAGGGACCGAGAGAATGGTTAGTCGTAGGAAGCTTTTGGCTCACAGCAGAAGACACGTTGAGGGTGTTCTTGCAGTGGGCAGTCTCGGTACCCTTTCTATCACAGTGCATTTCCATAAAGCTTTAGCAAAGAGCAAGAGGTTAAAGAAACCCTCCCTTTCTTTCCCTCTTGTTCCCCCTACTCAGCCCTGGCCTGAAGGCATCTCTTGCCCTTGACTTCTTGCCAGGCTGCCTAGCTGGAAACCTTCCTCCAGATGGAGCAGGCTAGGAGAGGTAAGGAAATGCGAAGAGAAAAGAAATGAAAACATATGGATATTTCTAATTTTGCTAATGTTTTTGATGTCATTTAAACCACCAGGAAAAAAAAAAAAAAGTAAGGAAAATATGATTCCACTCTAATACTTTTTACATTCATTTGTATTTGCATAAATTTCTTCTCAGTAGAATTTTCTTTCAGGATCTGGATGAGGTAGATTCTTTATTTTATTATTTGATTCAAAAGAACCTACTTTCTCCCAAATACCTTTTTTTTTTTTTTTTTTTTCATTAAAAGTAATAACCAAACACGGCCAGTCAAAGCCATGCATTGCAGTGAAAATAGAAAGATACACAAATACACAGCCTGAAAAAGCAGCTTCCCAGGAAAGTAAATTCTCTCCCTCATCCACCTCTGTGTGCAAGCTTCATCACTGCCAGGGATTTTATCAAGAATCATAAAGCTCCTCTTTGGGAGCCACACAAAGCACAGGGTGGAGCATGGCGTGGGATTGCAGAGCCCGGCCTGGAGCAGGTTGGCATTTTGGCGACACACAAACCTCTGTGACTAACACAGCCTGGATGGGAGCTGGCTGGGGAAGGAGGTAGGGATGGCAAGGAGTCAGAAGTCACCTTTCTGCCCCCAAAGTCCCTTGCAGTGCTGGGGTGGGGGGGAGCGAAGTGAGGCCTTCCTAGGGGAAGCCATGGCCTGCAGGGCCGCACGCTGTGAGGGGAATGGCAGCAGGGCAGCCTGCCGCATGACTGCAAGGAGGATGAAGCAGGGGCTGAGGGCCTGTGCCAGGTGGGTTACAGGTGAGCAAACGTTCTTTGGGGCTGTGGTTGGCAGGGGGGTGATGCAGCCCCCCGGGGGGGCTCACAATGCCTGGCCAAGGAGCAGGGCTGCACCAAGGGCCGTGTCACACTGCGCCGTGTGACTGCAGGCCTCGCTTCCTCCCCCACAGGAGAGATATTCCAGGCCGCAGTTATTACAGCACGGTAACCCAGACCCCGCTGGTACGTACCCCACTGCTTATCCTTCCTGCCATCAGACAGCTTCATTTCCCTCTCCTCTGGCAATTTATTTTGCTTGTATTGTATCGTTGTGAAACCAGGAGCACGCCGTGCTGCTGCTGGCTCTGGCCCTGCAGTGGAGCTGCTCACAGCGTCCACTTTTCGGCCCCAAACACGCAGGGCTGGACCTGGGTTCAGCTGTTCTTCAAAACACATGGTGCCATATGAGATTTTTTTTCCTCACATCACTCTCCAGTCCATTCCTCCTGCTTCATCTTCCCATGGGCTTAGCTGGACAGTCTGCCTCAGGACATGGTAAGGGCAAGCAGGCTGGCAGGAACTCCAGGAGGGGACTTTTGGATGTGCATAATGTCCCCTCTGCTTGTGTCAGCCTGGGCTGCAGGCAGGGACATGTGGGAAAGCACGTGCACAGCCCAGGGCTTCAAGAGCCAGCTTCTGCCCCAGAGTCTGACAGTGCATGTGGATCCTTCCTCCTGTCCTGCAGGGCTTCTGCCCTGAATCCTTGGGTTAGCTCATTTTTCCTATGCAGCAGCTTGTATTTTTCTTTTCTGAATAAGTTGTGTCTAGGTTAGGCTCCAGGGCCTGCCTGTGTGCCTTGCTGCTTTTCCAAGGTTTGGGAGTAAGAAAGGACAGAGCCGCAGAGGGCAGGATGAATTGCCACAGTGAGGCTGGCAGGCTGACATCAGAGCAGCGGGAGAAAACAACAGCTCTGAAGGAGGGTCTCCTTTGGAGCTGTGCCCTGGAGGGAGTAGGGGAATGGGAAAGAGCAAGACAGCAGTAGCAGTGTGGGGAGACAGGAGTCATGCTGGCTGCTGAGGGAAAGCAAATTTGTCTGGCTGCAGAGAGACAAGGCTGCAGCACCCCGAGGTGCCTTTTCCCAGCAAGGAGCCAGTCTGGAGCCAGCTAAAGAAACACAGCAATGTCAGTGGCCCCAAGGGCTGCCAGCCATGTGCTCTGTCCTCTCTATGCTGTGCATAGTGTAGAGCTCCTCTGTTCCTAGATTTACAGCTGGATGTCCCCTTCCCAGATCTCCTACGGAGGCCATAGACCACGCTGTGCATGCTGCTTGCTGCTGCCATCACTGATTGGGGCACTTTGTAGCTGTCACCATAGGTGCTGTCAAGGCATCGTTATGCCATTTGCTCACATTGTTAATGAGTGCTCTCGTCCATGGATGCGCTCAGCAGCGTGGCACAGTGCCTGCTGACAGGAGCTGAGGACATGCCACAGCTGGAACAGGGCTTCTTCAGCAGAGAGGAAGCCCTGCTGGGACATATGGAGGATGGGGAATTTTCCAGGTGAATCGGAGGGCAAAATTCCCATTTTTCACTCCTCGACTCCTTTTCTGGTGAACTCCTTGTTATTCCCCTCTGAGATCTTGGTAGTCTTTTGATGGTCTTAGGAGATGTTGGGCTGATTTCGGGGCCAGAGCTGAAGGGTGCTGAGACTGCAGAAGCATTTTGTCTGGAGCTTTTACTCACATTTTCCCATCACACCTCAGCTCTGTAGTATGACATGCTGGGATTCAGGGGCCTCATTGCAGAAGGGAGCAGGGCACAGATCCTGCCTGCCTTCCTTCTCCCCAGCCCTATGCAATTCTCTGTAGGTTTTCTGTTTCATATTTTAATAATGCAAAGCCAGCAGAAGAGTGAAACCCAAGTCAGTATAGGGTAGGTGTGGCTGCTTTCCTGCCTCTGTGCATGGGTGTCTGCCAGGAATGAGAACCTGCTCAGGGCAGGTGCACTGCACTGATGGGGTGCTCCCTGCAAAATGGTCCTGCAAAATCCCTGCACTGCACTGATGGGGTGCTCACTCCCAAGAATGCATCTGTGGATCCTTCCAGTCTCCCTTTTCCTTTAGTAAAACCTCACTTTAAGCTACAGCAAGCTGTAATAAAGCTGTGCTGGCCATGGCACCCTCTGGTCTCACAGTCTGATCTACAGCACAGCCACCGAGCTGACTTTCTGCAGCAGGGGGAGCAGCTGCACATCGGTGGGAGCATCGCGACGCAGGACTGTCCTGAGACACCTCTGGGTGCGGGTGTTCATATGCGGCAGCAGCCACAGGACTTGGTACTCCTGGGTGATCAGTGCTGGGAGCTGAGCACACCCGGGAGCGCTGGGGTTTTGCTCACCGTTTCCTCACCCTCTGTGAGTTTTGGCAGCCGGGAGATACTGCAGTGCACACTTAAAGCACACGATGGCACTGCAGGAGCGCATAACTGCCTCGGCCCTCCTCTGCAGCTCAACTGGTTTTCTTAGCCCTCCGAGGAGGCAAAACTCCGGCAGGTGCAGAGACTTTCCAGGGACGAGGTGCAGAGAGAGCTCTGGGGGACTTGACAGCCCAGTGCTGTCCCCTGCTAGGGCAAAACCTAGAGTCCAGGCTGCTGCCTGCCTCTACATCATCACTCCATCACCATGGGGCAGGAGGAGCCACAAGAGCACACAATGCTGCAATGGGCGTGACTGACATCTTCCAAAATGCTGTGATGATGACCCAAACAAACCTTCCCCAGAGAGACCAGCTGTGCTTAGTTAGGTGACCAGACAGGTGCAGAGCTAATCTGGGCTATAGCATTTAAAAGCTAATATGCACCAAGTGTACTCACCTGGGTGCACTGAGGGTTTCTATCCTTGCCTTGAGTCCCTATAGCTGCCTTGACTTTTTGAGCTCGTGCAGGTGGAGAGGTGGTCTTCAGATACACAATGGCCAGAAGCAAGCCCCGGTGCAAGTCTTGCATGATAACGTCCTGCTGGCTGGCTCCTGAGGCTTGGAAGAGAGTGAGCACATATGTTAGTTCGTTGGTTCCTTAAGCTACCAATCCTCCAGCCAAAAAACAGGGAGAGGTGTAGAGAGGAACAGAAAGGCTGTAATGGTATTGCCACAGAGCATGTGCTCTTTCCTGAAATAGTCCTTTAAAAAAATACCTGCATGTGACAGTTCTGATATTTAGCTGTTCTTTGCAGACAAGACCTTCCTGCTGAACTGAAGAAGTATACATGCAGCAAGTTCTGCCCAGATCACATAAATACCTGAAACACTGTAGTCACCTTTAGGTTTCTTGAATTATCAGGTGGATGGCTTTGCTTTTCCTCCTCCTGTTATCCCTCTGTGAAAAGAAGTTATCCTCAGGACTTTTCCATAAGGGAGAAGATGTGTACCCAGAATGAAAAGCACAAAGTCAGCATCAGAAGAGAAGAAAGCTCTTCCATGAGAGAAGGATGGAGAGGTTTGGTTTCTACAGCTCTCTGGATGGAGCACTCTTTGCTTGATATCTCCCTGCTTTAAATGCAGCTGATTGATTTACGTTCTCCTTTTCTGCCTGTTTATTTTAATAGATTTTTTTTTTTGAACTTAAAGCAAAATGTTCCACTCTCTCCACCCACCCCCCTGGAACTAAATGTTGATGGTTTTTTTTCAGTGGTTATAATTTGATTTCTGCCTCTCCTGCTGGGCTGATGTGAGAGAAACAACATTTAGAGAAGTAGATTTAAATACAAAAAAAAAAAAATGGAGCAGGGGAGGTAGAGGCTGGGAGCGATGTGGGAAGAAGGAAGGAGAATCAACGAGAATGAACTCTCGTTTTCTAGGCCGTTTTCTCAAGTTTGCAATCTCTGATGGGCAAAAATCCCAGTATAGCTCAACTAATCAATTGCTCTCTGAAGAATAGAAAATGCCTTGTCTCTTTAGGTATTTTTGTGTTATTCTTGGCCTGCTGCAGTGACTCATTGTAGCTGCTCTGTGCCAACGATTTCAGGTTTGTAGCCTCTTTCAGAGGTAGGGAATTGTGATCATCTCCACTTTGCAAGCTGAGAAACTGAGGCAGGCGTCAATTGGTTCCTTCCCCTTCAGATCGTGGAACAGTGGTTCAATCAGCACACATAATCCAGGCGGCATTTTCAGCAGCGCTCAGCTCTTTCCTTAGACAAAAGGAGGTTTTCAGGCTTAGCAGCGTTAACACTGAGCAGCAAGTTTTCAAAAGAATTCAGCAGCTCCTCCACTCTTGGAGTGCCTTAAGGACAAGCTCCTGCTTTTGCTAACAGGAACGGCTGTTTTTCCTTTACCAAAAACCTGACCTTTCATTCCTAGGCACGGAATTAAAGATTTCATCATATTTTTTTAATAGTTTTTAAAGGTTTAGCATCTCTCCTTTTTTTCCTCCTTGTTTCTCCTGGTTTCTGGGGACGTGGTTAGTGATTGTTTCTGTGCATATCTGAAGTGAATAGCTTTTCTAAATATTTTTTTCCTTCCTCCAAAATACATAATCGAGATCGTCTGCTGCAGTTTATATTTCCTGCTGTGGAGACAAACACCTTAATTAGAATGGCAGGGAGGAAAAAGAACATCATACAGAAAAATAAAGCAGCTCTGTGAAAAGAAACCTGAAAAGCTTGAGAGAAGTAGAAATGGGCAAATGAAGCCCCTTGGCAGGCAGGAGGCATCTTGCACAAACAAGTGCGTGTACTCACAGCAGCTGTGGGGATTGCTTTGCTCAATGCAAGGAAGGAGGCAGAGGTGGAAGCCTGGCTGCACTGAGTAGTGCTGAGTTTCTGTCAGGCAATGAGAGCTGTCCTCAAACTGCTCGATCTCCTACAGCTCCTGCTCTGTCTGCAGGGCAGATGTGTGGCTTGGTTTCAGTAATTCTGTTGGGAGAATGAAGGGGAAAGGGGATCTTCTTTCACTGTTGTACCTGCCTTGGCCGTGCCTCTTTCCTTCACTTAAAAGGGAAGGGTTACATTAATCCCTGGTGGTTTCTGCAATTCATTATGGGATTTCTTGTACATGCTGGCCCTCCTTTACAAGCCTTGGGGAAATTACAGCAGAAGAAAGCAGCAAGAAATGCCTACATTTACCAGGCTGGTATTAACTCTAGGGATGTACGAGAGGGATACACATACAAAGTTGTTTCTTAGTCCTTAGGATTGTGTGAATAGGAGAAAAGTCTACCATCTGTATAACTCAGAGCACAGTGTGAGCCTGTAGGGAAGTGGGGTAAGAGACCTCTTGCTTTCCTTAGACTTTGTAAGCAGCAGCCTGTGAAGGGCATGCATTCAACCCACTCCCTTATCTGTAGCAGGTCTGCAGCCAGAGCAGATGAGCTAGCTCTCTCTATGTCCCTATCTTAATATCTTTATGGGAAACCCTCCCAGTTCCCTTCCCTGAAAGTACATCCACCCAGAAAAACACCTTGCTGTCTCAGCACAGCGTGCTGCTGGGGCTTCCCATTTAAGGCCAGCCCTGATGTCCTGCAGGTGCTGCCCACGTCAAGGAGGACCACAGAACATCCTTGATGTGTTGTAGGGGAGCAGCAGCTGCCAACCCTGGAATTTGGAGGGCAGCCTTGCACCAGCTAGCTGGCAACCTGCAGAAGGGTCTGCTTGGATGGATTAATCAGCCTTACAAAGGTCTCCTTCCAAGCCATAGAATGGGGGAAAGAGGATGGGCTGAGAACATCCCCAAGTACTTCTCTGCTGCCCAGCTGAGATTTGTATCCATCTCGTTGAGGATAATTAGATGGTCATCAGATGAGGAAGCTCAGCACTCACTTTCTGCGCCATCCCTCCAAGAGAGAAGTGTATTATTCTTGTTTTTCATCAGCCTGAGCTGGTAATTGTCTATGTGAACTGTGGTGCTGTCCCTATATAATTAAAGTTGTCATTCAGACTCATACATCTAAACACTACAAACTCCACAGCTTAGGAGGATCGATCACAGGACTTTAATGGCAGTCAAAGCGGCACTTTGTGGACTCTCTTTTTTTGTCAGTGGAAGAAACTGTGGGGCTTGAGGCTGAAACATCCTTGGGATGGTGGTGAGGTGCTTCCAGTCCTCACTGGACACACAGCTGTGATGCCAGGCCCTGTGCAGGTGGTGGGAGCTGCACTGATCCTGATCAATGTGATGTGGGTCTTGTGGGTCACCAGACAGAGCATGGGGGTACCTATGCTATGTGAACAGAGGCATAGCATTGGGAAATCTAGGCTTGTGAGACAAGCACACAGCCTGCCTACTTGTGTAAAAGTACTGCTAAATGAAAGCTCATTAGTCTTGTTTGACTGATGTCATCTGCTGTTTTGCAGGATGTTCATGAAGGCAAGCATGAATGCCATAGCTGTAGTCAGAAGACTCTTCCTTGTCCTCTTCCAGTGCAAAAAGCTGCTGTTCTTGCTCTGTGTGGGTAAGAAAACCTCAACACGTGCTAAGCCCTGCTGTTTCCCACCAGCACTCATTGCTGTGTCTCTCAACCCCATGGCCTTGCTGGGTTGGGGCTGTATGGAGTGAGATGCTCCTCATGCATGTCTTCGCTGGAGAGACTCCAATCATGGGTGTGACATAAGGGAGGGAGGGAAAGGACATCATTCCATAAATCCCCCCACACACAGCCGTGGGTATCACCACAGGCTGAGATGAAGATCTGTGAACTTAAATTCCAAGGCATAGGGATCAGCAACAGGGACATGGGCACAGTCATAGTGTCTCCCTTTCACTTCATGTACATCTGTCAGCTGTACTCTCAAATGCTGCATCCCGTCCTGCAAATTGGACCCACCATGTGCAGCTCTGTGTGCAGCAGCTCTGCTCTCCTGTGCGTGGGCCTTGCACTCACATTTGTCACTCACCTCCAAGAGAGGCATGAGATGTGCCTGTTTTGGGTGAATTTTTGGAAAACTGAGTCATTCTGGATGTCTCAGGGGAGGGGAGAGAGCAGAAAAGCATCTGAAAGGTGAACTTTTTTCCCCAAGTATGAAAGTTCCTCTGTTGTTTTGCACTAGTACAACCAGGTGTTGACTCACTGAATTCTCCCCTACATTAATATTTATAAATATTTAAAACTCCAGGACAAGGCCTGCCTCCTGTATGCTATGTGTGCACAGGGCTGTGGAGGCTGGGGCAAGGTTAATGTGCTTCTGTGATACTCAGACTGAATTCCTGGGGTGAGGGGAAAGTCTGGCAGTCACCTTTTGATAAATGCTGCTGTGATCTTAGCAAGATCATGGTCCAGTAGTGGGTGTTTACCTGCGTTGTGTGTATGCATGTAGCAGTGCAGAAATAACTGGCTGATGAAAGTCTCTGTGGGGTGAGTGTAGGAAGTCTGGGAGAGACCATGTTGCAGTGTCCATAGTGAGTGTATGTCACTGCTTGTGTTCTCCCTCCAGAAGAAGGAAAACTAATTCTAATTTCATGCCATCATTGGGAGGCCAGTTGTTTGTCACAGAAAAAAAAATCACTGCTGCTTAATGACCAAGATGAGACCATTGTCATTTTCATAAAAAGGAAAGAGCTATCACAGTGCACAGTGATATAATGACAGTTTTGTGGTACAATATGGGAAGTGCTGAGGAAAGTAAAATTAAACTTTTATCTACGATCAGAGTGGATTCTTTACTAATGGTGAAAAGAAAAAAACAAATGCTGAAAAATCTTTATCCTTGTGTGCCAGCATGAGCACAGCAGCACCTTTGTGAAGCCAGCAAGAGCTGGGCACAACAATGGGCTAGGAGAAGGGTCAGACCCCAGAGCCTGTCCCACATCAGAGACCCACAGGGGTCACGGGGAAATCCTACCCCTTCCACAGGTCTTAGAGCAGTGTCTGTGGTGTTCATTCTTGCCCATTTTGTGCTCTGTGTCACATCAACAGAAGGGTGCAAATGATGGAGGAGCCTTTCCCTGCTGCATCCACAGTCCCAAATTCATGCATGTGGAGCAGGGCATTCAGAGCAAGCCAGGTTTCATTGCCTTCTGCAGGTCTGTGTGTGAAGAGCCTGTACAATGTGACGAACACACTTGGCAGGCATACTGAGTAAGTTACCTCTCCTTTCATTTTCTGACTTTGGTGCTACTTGTGGTCTGTGGTGGGGCACAACTCAGTATGCTGGGAAGCAGATTTATCCTTCCTCCCAGGGTAAAACCTGGATGAGAAACAATTCCCCAGTAAAGTCTGAGTTGTTGGGGACTTGGAGGACTGTGTTCTGCCTGGCAGTGGCTGGAGAGTAGGATAAAACAGCATTCGTGAGCCTGGAGATGTCATAGCTAGAGCACAGAGATTCCCTGGTGTTCATGGTCACTGGCAGGGTGTCTTGTGGATGCCTCATGGTGTTCTTTGTCTGCCTCTATGTGGAGGACAGAGCAATGCTCGCTAATGATGTTCTAAAATTCAACCTCAAGGCTCTAAGCAGCTTGACCTAACTTTGGTATTACCTCTCCAGAGATCTTTTTTTTTTTTTCGTCTAAATTAATCTGTGTTTCTGTTGAATAGAAATGGAACCCTTTACATGGTCTTTGGAGGGGACCTGTTCATGGACACCAGTGGTCAGGAGCTGGGAGACAGAACAACATGGTCAGGAGCTCAAAACCCTCCTTTTGTAGACACCTTCAGGAGGCCTCCTGAACTGTCCCTGATTCTCAGGCTGTGGTCTAAGGCTTGAGAGCCTTCAGGAATTGCTAACAAGAACCTTGTTTCTTTTGAAGGAGGCACGTTGGTGCTTGCCGAAGACGCTTTGTGTGGAGAAAGCCTTTTCTTAGAAGGTTTGTGAGCTGCCTCATTTGCTTGGGGAATTACTGTGAGATGATGAGTCAGTGTTTGAGTGGCTACTGTTTGGTGGAAACTGGCAGTTTGGGGTTTGTGGGCAGATATGAAGAAAGGGAAACAGAGCTGACTCTTGCACAGTTGCATCTTGGCACCATAACAAGTGAGTCAAAAGACCAGCAGGAAGATGCAATGCAGATGTGTGTGCAGAATGTCCTCCAAAGGGCAAGCAAAGAGAAAGAGATGTGCAGCTGAAATGGCTGTGTGCAGTCAGGCTTTGTCATGAGTGTTGTAGGAGTTTGTCGTGGGTGTTATGAGTTTTGTCATGAAGTGAATGAATAAATGAAATTGGAAACCTAAATGAAATTCTCCCCTTCTCACCTCTTGTAAATAAACAATGAAACAATGAGTAGGCATTCCCTGAACCTGTACAGAGAGAGGAATGACTGAGAAGGGAGAGGAACTGGGAGGTTCCTCCTGAGAAGGGGCAGAACTGGAGGGGAAATGAGATTTTTGCTGTCACTGCTGCTTGAAAGATGACTTAGAAACAGTGGTAGATTTTAAAAATGTGGGACATTTCTGGGAAGTACTTCAGGGTAGCTTGGTAGATTTCCAAAGCTCTTCATTATTCAGCCTGCTTCAGCTGTACCAGTCCTGTGTCTGATACTGCTTTGACAGCTCTACTTGTCCATAAACTGCTGTCTGTCTGTATCTCTCATTAGGTTTAAATCTCACTGGGAGCCTTTCCTGACCAGCAAATCCATATACTCACTCCTGGACAGGCCTTTTAAACAGGAGCTTGACAAAGTTCTGTGGCTCCATAAACTTCCTTTTGGGCTGCACAGCTCAGGTATTGAAATACTCTGTCCTTGGTGTTGCACCACTGTGTGGACTCAGTGGAGCTGGAGAGCCTCTTACGCATGGAGCAGCCTGCAGTGCTGCAGGGGAGATGGAAATACGGCTGAGAAACACACCAAGGGAAATCTGGACTGACTGGATGGGGTTGCCTTTGAGAAATAGTGGTCTTAGAGAAATGGGGACAGTGCTTTAACTCCTGGCTGTAGCTGTGCCAGGATAGATGGAAAGGGGAAGGCTGACAAATGTTATTGTGGATGGAGCAGGAGGCATTGCAGAAGTTATCAAATGCTAATAGAGAGAAGATATTGGGTGAGTTCGTACCTGTTGGCTTTTCCCGTGCAAGGTACTACATACCAGCTTCAATAGCACTGAAAAATGCATGCCTTTCATGTGGAAAAAATGCCTAGTTTGGACAGTGTTGGGTAAGTGAAGGTTGCAAGAGTGGTGTTTGAACAGGCTGTCCCATGTAAATTGTCCTGGGATTGTATATAGGGATGAAACCTGTCTCTTTAGAGCAGAAGAAAGAGGAGGTTAGTCTATTGGTAGTCGGGGGGGGGGGGGGGGGGTCAGAATTTTTCCCTGAAGATGATTCTTCAACTTTTTGTCTTCTAGTTCTCTCTGCTTTTAGCACATTGCAGCTTCTTCCAGAGCAGGACTTGCCTGGATCCTTTGGCCGGTATGAAGTCTGGGCTGGAGATTGAAGCTGGGGAACACGTTTGTCAGGGAACTGATAGCTACATTGAGAGTCATGGTCTCTGCAGCTATTGGAAGTTCTCTCTCTTGGTGTTTAACTTCACAGTCTTTCTGCCTCTTATTCCTGCCACTCTTCATCTCCTCTCTCAGTAGGTTTCTCTTTCTGTCCCTTTTAAATGTACCCTTTCAAGCAGCTCTCATACTGAATGATGAACTTAAGCTGCTAGCTCATAGCTCCCTCCCTTTAACTTCTGTCATACCCTGAGTTCTTTTCTCCGTGTTGCCCTGTCCCATCTATTTTCTCTTGCTACCTCCATCCCAAGCATGACAGGCTGGGAGTTGGGTGAATCCCTCAGGTGCACCTGCCCACATTCAGGGGGAGCAGGAACTGAAGTGTCCTGTCTGCAGCAGATGCTTACAAGCACTTTTATTTAGACCCTTTTTGTGACCTTCCTCTCCCTGATACACCCCGTGCCTCCAGCAGAGGTCTGCCCATATAATTATTGCTCTGCTGGGTATCCACACTTGACTTTCTATTCCCTCAGTGCTTTGTTCACTCCAGCCAACTAGGGGTCCCACCTCTAGCATGTTGATGATATCCCATTGCCTTTGTGAATGTGTAAGCACATTCCACTGTACTTTCCAAGACAAATACCATCTGGCTAGGAAGAATCCAGAGTCGTACTAGTCAGGGCTTCTCTCCTCTAGTATCACCCTCAGGGATGAGACTCTCAGGGGATGCTGAACTAACCTGGTGGAGAAATTTGTCAGAGAACTTTATCTCTTGCTGTCTATTATTTTGCCAGTTTATGGTGCCAAAGGTGCATTGTGGTTGGCAATGGCTACTCTGTCCATGGGCAGCACTTTGGGAAAATGATTGACTCTCATCATGTTATCATAAGGTACTAAATCATGACTAAAATATTAATGATTAATCAGAGACTGAAGAATGATAATGTGTATGTGATATTCTTGTTTGGGAAATATAGCATCTAAGATCTAGCTACCCAGGTAATCACATAACTTTCTTGCAGTTTGTAGTCAGGCACAGGCTTTGCAGAAGCTACAAACTGTACTCCTCATTCACCAATGTTGTACCTGGGACTGGATAGCCATCTCCAGTTCAGTGGAGTGGCAGGGAATCTTTGCACTGCAACCTCACATTCAGCTTTGCTCTGACTTAAGCAAATCATTTCATGTGCTTTATGTCCCTCTCTGAAAAATAGTGGTTGCCTGCCGCTATCATCTGCCTTTTTATTGCAAAAGAGGAACTACTGGGATATCTGATGAGGTGGTCCATACTGTGGAACTAGGCTGTGAGTGAACTCCTCATGTGAGTTCACGTAGTCAGTCTTGCATCTGACAGCAACTCTCTGCAGTTGGGAACAGGTAATACTGAAATGATACAAATCCAGCCCTTCTGGCTTTGATTCTCAGATTAAATGATGCTCCAGTAAAAGAGTACAAGAAGGATGTGGGAGAAAGAACCAGCATTCGTCTCTTCTTCCCTGAATCAGCTCTGCCCAACCCTCTGGAAAACAGTGACAACAATACACTGATGGTGTTTGTCCCATTCAAGCCTTTGGATTTTTTATGGCTGAGGGAAGTATTGCTGAAAACAAAGAACAAGGTGAGGTGTCTTTAATGATGGATGGTTGAAACCAGGTTATTTGTAGTCACATACTCAATAGCTCTCATAGTCATGTCTTTCAAATATTTAATGAGCCACACAAGGCACACCTGAGACCTTATTTGTCACCAATTAGACCCAGTCACACCTAGATTGCAGATGGGTGCATGAGAACGAGTGGAAAAGACCAGGAGATGCTTTATTCCTCCAAACTCTCAGTCCTTCTGAGCATCCAGCCAGGGCAACAGGCCACAATTAACTCAGGCTTCTTTCTCCTGGCAGGGTTTGGTGATACTGGACACGTCTTGAGTACCTCTCTGCCTTTCTCCTACAGACAAAGGAGGGATTTTGGCGCCAGCCTCCCCAGGAGTGGAACTGGAACATCTCTCAGCTACGTATTCTCAATCCATATGTCACCTATGAGGCAACATTCAAGCTGCTGCAGCTGAATGCATCAAGTGGGGTATGCGATTGTGCTGGAGAGCAAACAGATGACTATCAACTATCAGTGTTGTCTTGCCTAATATCTCAGTGCTTCAGTGCCACATAAGGGGAAGGAAAACATATTCGTTAGATCAGCCGGTCCATTTCCCTAGTAAATGTGTAGCCATCTTTTACTTCAGGATGGTGTTTTGGGTTTTGAGCCCTGTTTCTTCAAAGAAAAGAACACTTTTCCTGCTTGTCACAACAGCACAGTGTTACTCTAATTCCAGTCTGCCCTGTAATCCTTTGCCACTTTGAATTCAAGTAACTTTTCAGAGTTGAGTTTCTGGCCGTAATTCTAGACCTCAGGACACCTGCTTCTCTAGCGATTAGCAGCTTTGTCATAAAGCTCTTTCATACATGTTCCTGTGATTTTCCTGTCTCTAGACCATTACTGATAATTAGCTAGCATATTGAGAGGAATTTTGGTCGACATTCCTTAAAACATTCAGGTCTTGCAGATCTCTGGCCTGAGGCTGGCTGTTATGCCCACTACTTTGGGAATGCAAATTTCCCCTTCACTGCACAATGGAGGATTACTTCATTAATGAACCTACTTTGTCTGCAGTCCCGACGATCTTTGTGATGGTGCTGTGCAATCTTTAATTAACTTTAAGCCTGCTGGGCACCACCAGGATGTTTATAATCTGCAACAAAAGCAGGAGAAGCTTGAAGGCCTGGTGTGGTGAAATAACCTTGTCCAAGGTCATGCACTAACTTGGCTGGGGCTGCAAGTAGGTGCCAAGTCTCTTGACTGCTGAAGCAGTGCTGTAAAAAAGTACATTTCCCTGCTAAACTGCTTGGAAAGTGTGAAGTGGAGAAATCCAGAGGAGGAGTGCTAAGTGCTCAGCTAAGCTTGAGGGACCAGCTCAGCCACTCACAGTTTGGTGGCTGTTCTGCACCTTCACAAGATCGTTAAGGCAAGGTCTCAGCTGGTACATGGCCATGTTAGTTTTGTGTGAGCAGAGGGAAGATTTGTAACACGTAGGCCAGTGACAGGAATTTAATGCATGGATGAGAAGTGAGGTTTCACACAGAGGCCCCCAGCAGGGAACACACACAAAGTGGCACACAGAAATGAAAGAGATGTGGGGACTTAGTGCAGGTTTAATTATAGATGTGGTCTTCTTAAAAAGCGTGCTTCCATCCAAAAGCTTTTTCATTTCCATGGAGCTCTATGTTTTATAACCTCAGAGGCTGTACACTCCTGAGTCCCCATCTTCTGCAGCATCTCCTCGTATGATGCTCCTTGTTTGAGTTCTGGGAGTGCTGTCCAGGCACCTGTTCTGTTTTATTTATGTATTTTTTTCCTGCGTGGAGTGTGAAGGAAGCTACTGGTCCCAGCTGCAAAGGTGTTGCTGATGTCAGTTTTGTAAAAGTATGAGTTTGAAATGCTAAACAGATGTTCTCTCTTTTCCCTTCCCAGAGATATGCCACCACGGGAATCATTGCTTTGAACTTAGCCCTCCATCTGTGCCAAGAGGTCAACATTGCAGGCTTTGGTTACCCTGGCAACCATGACACTACTACACCAATACATTATTACAATACTGGTCTCTCACGGAAAAACGAGGTAGAAAATGCTTTCTCTTCAATCTAAGGTGTGCTCCATAGGGGAACCCACTGGAAAAAGCTGGGCTAAAGGAGCTGTGAGCTTTGGTAGTTATCGCCAATGTTATGGAAATTAGAATCATAGAATCCTTAGAGTTGGAAGGGATCTTTTTAAAGGTCATCTAGACCAACTCCTCTGTAAGTGCTGGGGTACGTTTTCTTCCCAAAACTGCTTGAAAACAGATGCTGGCTCCCTCATAGTGCCTTTCATCTGTCCTAGTTTGCTGACTAGTGTCCTGTGCAGTGGGGCTGCAAGTTGGGTCAGGCAGGATCAGTGCATTTCAGGGAGAATGAGAGGCATTGTAAGGATTAACCTGTAACTTTGGCTCTCTCATCCCTGCAGCTCTTTCAGCATAATCTCACAGCTGAGAGGAACTGGCTTCTGAAAATGATTGAGTGGGGAGTGATTGCTGACTTAACCAGCCACACCTTCCAGACCCAGAACGACTGAGAGGAGGCCATGCTGCTTGCTATCCCCATCCAGACACCTCACTTGGGCTTTGCCCTTGTTCCATCCTTGTTCCAGGTTGTTTTGAGCATGTCATAGTATATTCTTTCCCAGGTGAAATGGGAGGTTAAACCCTGAGATTCAGAGCACTTTCTTCATCCTTCATTTGCCTCTAGCTTCCACCACTGCCTGCTATAGTGGAGGATGAAGAGTGTTGCACAACACTTCTTCCTTGGGTAATCTCCTCCTGCTTTGTGATCTGCCATCCTGTACTCACTGAGCTGTTTGTGAAAAGCACAAGACTTAGATGCCAAGCTGGTCTGCAGGCCCTGAGAAACTCAGGAGCGAAGGTGCAGTGCTTACCCTGAGATTTCAGACTCCTTCATGCACAAAGTGGAGAATAAAGTTACACCCATCGCTTTGGAAAAGGACTAGGTTGAAAACAGAGAGTTTTAGTGTCTCACTAATTGTTGGGAAATGTTAATGTCTGCAGTAAACACCAAAAAAAATTGTTTCTTTTATTGTTCTGTTAGAGAATAAATGCACTTCTGTTTTCAAGGAGTTGGCACTGTCTTGTGGGAGGGGGATTCCTCATAGGGACAGGTAAGTTACCTTAGTTACCTTAAAATCCCCTCTGAGATGTTATGGGTTTGTGGACCCATGTAGTCCCCTTTATCTTCCTCCCAGCACACTGCTCAGAGCTTTGCGTGCATCCTGCTGATCATTCAGAGAATAGAGCCACCCTGCAGGTCTGCTTTGTGTGCTGAAGGTCTTCCACATGTAAGAAACCTCATTAAAAGCTGCACCTATCTGCAGCTGGCTCGTATCCACATCCTACCTCTGTGGCCACATCTTCTCACTACAGCTTTCTTCCAGGATGATGCTACACCATATCGTCCTTTCTTTACTGCTTTCTTCCTGACCTTTTATCATCAGGGATTCACCTCAGGTGGTGACTCCCCAGAATGTTACTTGGAGAAACAGCCTACAGCGTGAAGTTGAGCTGATGGTGATATTGGTATAACCCTTTTGTTGCAGCCATTTCAGCCAGGTCCACACTGAAAGGCACAGCTTTTAAGAGTAAGCTCTAAGGGCGGAATTGGCTTAACTTGTATCAGGCTGCATGTGTCTCATGCTGAGTTTTCAGCATTACTACACTACCCATATAACTGCTGACACTTCCTACATCAGGCAAAGCTTCTGTTTTCCCTCCCACTTCCTTCCTTCCCCTCTCTGCTGTGGTCAGGCTTTCAGGGTACTTTCCATGCCATTCAATTCCTGGGTAACTTCCAGTGTCTCATCCCTCTTTCCTGAAGGCTTTCTCTAACACCTTCTCATGATCTCATGAAGAGTTGATTCCCTTCATGTTGCTCTGGCTGCTTTTCCCTTTTGCTCAGACCGGTTCCTCCTCTAAAGCTGAAATGGTTTTGCCCTGGACCTGCATGCAATTATGGCCAAAGAAATGCTGACAAATATCTCCCAGAGCTGCCTTGCCTTGTGGAAGAACCGAGGCCTCACTGCAGCTCAGTTTGAGAAAAGGCACTTGAAGGCTAAAAGGGGATGACCTAATCTTGCACATGCAAACAGAACGGAACTGAGCTTGGGAGAAAAAAAAGCTGTTTCTCTTTACTGTCTAAACATTGGCTTCGGGTTATGTTCTGAAAACAAATCTTTACTCTCTACCTAGCACACAATAACCATACAGATTGTGCTGAGTTCCAAAAATATGATGTTCCTGAATGTTTACAGATATGCATTTGGCTCTGGCTCAAACTGTTCCAGAAGTTATTGCTCTGTATGCAGTGGCAGTGGGCTCTCAACTATATGGAAAATTGCTACTCTGTGTTCTTCTCTTGGTAAAAGGGCGTCGAAGTTTGAGTGTCTAAAAGCTGGCGTATAAAGCGTGCTACCAGCCAACCCCAGGAGATGGCTACATTTTCTCTCTAGGTAACACACACAAGAACTTCACAGTGCTTGGTAGGAGCTGCGTTTGCACTTTATGCTGCAGTCATTGCAACATTTTCCTGTTGTGTAGTGACAAGTCATGGGAGCAAAACCATAAACACCAGGCTCAGGAGTCTTAGCGCTCGTCACAATCATCAAAGCTGAGAGCTGCAGTCCTCCATGCCTGGTAGTCTATATAGATCCCTGCCCTACAGCTTGCTTGTTATTATCAAGAGAACTGAGGGAAAGGAGGTGGAATAAGTAGGATAAATCAGAGCCACGGTAATACAGAACATATGTGAATGAGGCTACCAGGTACCATAAGGATGTAATGGAGGGGGAAAGAAAAGGAAAATGAGTCCTATTATTACTCAAGTAGCAAAAGCTAGCATCCTTCTCAGGGCTGCAGGAGGGCACCTGCACTCCCTCCCAGCACAGTGCATTCATGCCAGGCATTGCAAACAGCCCTGTATGGACAGTGACAGCGAGTCCCCAGCTCTGCAGTCAAGGGGTGACCACAGCAGAAGGGCTGGGAGCTGCTGGGCTGTGAGGTGCCTGCCTGCCCGTCCTTAAGGAACAGGGGAGCTCCCAGCCTCTGTCATGGCTGCCTGGCAGCACTTGGCAGGTGAGTCTGCATGCCTCCACCATCTGTGTGAAATCCTTCCAACCATTTCAACTGAACATTGACTTGTGTAGAATGTAGGGCTCCTAAATGACCTGACATAGTCCATATGGAGTACCTGCCACAGATAGTGACTGCCTTGACACTGATTAATCACTTCCTTTAGTCGTATATTTGTCCCTGGTTACCTGACACAGTTCTTCCCTAATAGCTTTTGAATAGATCTGGGGTATTCATATGACCTTGGCTTTGGGGAATAGCCCATCTGATGACACACATTACCTACTTCAATGTAGGCTCAGCTGCTTTCAATCAAACTAAGCTGGACAGTAGTTTTTGGTTTTTTATCTTTCCTCTCTGTACACCCAGACCTGTCCTCTTCCCAGTGCTAAAGACCTTAGCTCTACTGGATCATGCTTTGTTTTGGGTGGCCCCATTTGCGGTTGGCTTGGTCTGTGCCACACAGCACGTGCAGACCATCTCTGATCCCACCTTCACGTCCTTACCTGACACCTACAGGCACGCAGTCTGCACCACTGATGCTCCTTGCTTTGATCCCAGCAGTTAAATCACCTGTAACTGGAATCAATCATTGCTCAGACGGAGAGAGGCCAATTTTTCTAAACCCCCAAACTAAAAGCAGATTTTCTCTCAGTGTGAACGTAGTTCTTCAGAGGCACAAGATGCAGAAGCAAAGGTAAGAGGTCTTTCAGGCTGAACTTCCATCGCACCCATTCCACGTGGGAAAGCATCCCAAGCTGCAGGCACCCAAGCTGTGAGGACCCTCTCAGGAACACCCCTCCTCAGCCCCTTCTCCAGCCTTGGCACAGGGCACAGCTCCGTGCTGCCTTTACCCATGGCTGCCCAGGGCTGGCTGCAGGAGGCACTGACTCACCGTTTCCAGGAAGCAAGATATTCTCAGCAAGAGGATCTTATAGAGCCATTTTTGGATTTATTTTTTATTTTTCATCGGGATTTAAGATAAATTGTTGTCGATTTGTTTTCTTTTCCCAGCAAATAGCCAGTGAAATTCAACATTTTGGATTTGAGATGTTTCCTTTTGCTTTTTTCTATCCACTCAGACAGCCTTCCGTTGCAGGCAGATGACTCAGTTGCTGTGCATAAGGAGGGACCATGCCTCAGCTGAACCTCAGTGACTCAGTAACTGTCTAACTAACAGTGTGCAATGTGTTTCGCTGGTTGTGGCCATCTTGTGCTGGGTAATATCTTCCTTCAGATGACAGAGATTGCACGTATGCCGTGTGCTGCTGCGTTACAGATATTATAATAATCAGGGGAACAGAGTTTACCCTGGCAAGTGTTTTTAGAAACACTGAGATTTTCCGTTAACACCTCCTTCCTAAGAGATCTTTGATGATCCTACCAGAAAATTGCCAGCGCAGTGAGTCGTGTTTTATTTTAGATGTTATTCTTGTCACTTTAAAGGATTCAAAATAATACTTTTGTTTCTTGTGAGCTGAAAGAGGAAATTACAGAGGCATTATGCTTTCTACAGTCATTGCACATTGTATGCAAGCTGAAGAATGTGAAGTTAACTGGCACTGACTTTCTAAACTGGTGGCTGGGTTTGATTTGCTAGCTGGTGCGTTTCCTGCTTGTGCCCATTCCTTGCAATTTCTGTACAGTTTGCTCTTGAACCATTGATGGTATGCATTGTGAAACTGTCCCCTGTGACAGGAGTGGCTCATTTCTTGCATGTCCTTCACATCCTGCTTTCCACTTGACCCCTAAGCGTGGCTGCTGGATGGATTTTGTGATGCTCCCAAACTCTCCAACATCTTCAGCGAGTCTCCATTGAAATGTTAATGTCTGGAGCATACTTCAGGCTCATCTCGGCTTTAGATAAAAATTAAAAGTGGATTGCTTCATTCTGCATATTGAATACTAAAAGACACGCTCATTTGTCCTCTCTGCAGACTCATGATGCCCTGCCAATTTCCTTAATCCAGGCACAGAAGCAGTCAGCGATTGTTTCCATTCACTTTTGATTCCATCTGCAAAAGGAAATACCTGCAATCACAAGAGGCTTTTCAGAACAGGGATTTTGTTGAACTTGCCCAATTTCAACAAACTTTTTGTCTGCTGGCTTAAGGGGCTCTATCTGGCTGCATATCAGGGTGTCCCATTTAGCTCCCATTGTGCTGCCTGTGTTTTTTATCACAGGGATCATCAGTTATTTTAGGATTTCCTCATCCCTCAGTGGCGCTCTGCTGACCTTGCCAAAGACGTCCCACGTCCATCCCCTCTCCTTGAGATGTTATCTTTATAAGTGTATTGCTGCTCACCTGGTGTAGCAGCTTATATTATTTACTATCAACTTGCACAGTTTCACGATTAGCCACTCCCTATTCTATCTTCTTCTAGACTCATATCCTGCCCTCATTTCCCATTCTTGCCTGTGTCAGTAATATCCACCAACCCTACAGCTACATCCTCAGTAACAACTCTCAGTTATCTACAGAAACACACGAGTAGATACAATAAAGCACCACCATTTATCAAGGTAAATGAAGGCAAGGAGCTTTGTTAGAAAGCTCACAGCTGAATTAAATTAATACTACAAACGTCTCCTCCAGAAACAATAGCTGTGTCTGTGCTTT